TCTAATCAAATCCTGAACATCATTTTTAACGATAAATGGCCACTTTCTGTCGAGTTTTGTTTATTAGTTTCAACTGTAAATCACTGCATATCGCGGAGTTACTGCCAGCTTGTTTCTAAACGACCCTTAAAGGAACAAGCCACCGACAGTCTTGCCAGCAGGTGATTGTTATTAACACGTGGTATCGCAAGAGCTAATTCCAAGCATTTCGTTTCTCGAAGTGTGTGAATGACAGAAGTGTTTTCATTTGATGTAAATACGTGTACTTTATTTACTCTTCTTTCAAGACAATAAAGCAGGTTGGTCATTTTCGACCATCAGTACTGCGTCTGGATTATTACTGTTGAGCTCCCAATATTGCGGCTGTGAAAGAACACCTCATCCACGAAAGGAAAACATCTATTCACATACACGTTTATTCTATACTCTACGGTACAACTAAATAGTTAAGCTTCAGTAGAGAATAAAAAAGAAGGAAAATTTAACAAGGCAATCTTTATACCATTTCAACGCTCAAGTCTTAGGAATTTTCGTGAAATGATCTCAGTCAGGTGGACAAAGCAGGTTGTTGATAGTATCAATATTCTAAGAGCATGGGAATGGTCCCCATTACCAGGGCATCAAGGAAGAATTCTGAGAGAGCAGCTTCGAGAGTGCCAAGTAAGATCCGCTTGAGTGCCTGTATGGAATGATGCGAATGATAATTTCTCTCTCTGTGCCATACTGAGGGAGGTGCAAAATAGAGAGGGATGAAAAACTGCCACACATTTGCTAGTTTTCTCCCTTGCACTTCATTTATGAACAATTCAGTTCCATCAAATTCAGTAACAGCACTGATATGAGATGCCCGAACCGACTATTTCGACTATCTTAATAGAGCAATTACAGCCAAGATATTTTTTAATGATGGAGCTGTTCAGTGCCCGGGTGCGTTTTATTTTCCGCTGGAAATGATGGTTGATTTGAGTGCTAAGGTAATGCTCTAAGTCGTGAGGGCACTTGTATGACCAAGAGACTATTTCTCTTCTTGATAGAACTGGCAGCACCAGCAGCTGTCGAAGCCGTTCCTGCGCCCGACTTTGTGTTTTCCCAGTTCTGTATCCGAGCAATCCGACGAAATAGGATTTCCTTGAAATCGCGATGCGAAAATGCAAAAATGAACGGATGACAGATACCGCACAATGGAGCACTTATTCCAGTGAAATATGCCATGCAGTTGGCGATTACGATCGAGTCGATAATTGATGCGAATAAGGTAAACAATCCTGGCAGAGCATGGAGCACTGTCTCAACAATTAATACGTAAATGGCTATTCGCGTCGCCTGAAGGTTAAGCATTTCTGTAAGGAAAAAGAATCCAAAATTGCTTAGAATTTGAGATTGGCATGTTTTTTTTTTTTTGTGAAAGGTCTGTAATGCTCGCGGGGGCTTAGTTCTTAGTTTGGTTCTCCAGCTATGCAACTTTATTTGATTGGTCCGCGAGATTAACAAGCTAGTGACGTCAAGGTCACTAGCTTGACGTCCACTTCATCTTCACGCGGGATTATCCGTTCAGCGGCTCTCCCTACAGAACCATTTAGCGAGGTTTTAGCCACTTCGAGATTTTTTTGCACCATCCTAAAGTACGCTTTTAATATGACGCTTGTTGACTAGCGTGGCAATCATGTTGTTTATGTTGTCAAACTGATCAACGAGTCAGTGCTTTGACTAACAACACGATAAACTTTTCTGCGCATAAAAGTAGTGACGCACAACTGTAGACGTCATAACTGAGGAAATCAGCAAAAAAAATGACTTCATGCAAACAAACCAACAAAGAAGGGAGTGTTCAAGGTATTTCTGCATGGCCGGAAATTATATCTCTTTGCAGATGAGGAACATGCAGGATATTTGTTACGGTCGTAAAAATAGAAGGTACGGTCCACTGAGTAAGGCGCACTACTTATCTAATTAACATTTGTCAAATCGTTTGTCAGCGAATGCT